TTAGGTGAATGTAGTTAACCAGTCTTAAAAAAAAAGGTCATGGGGGGGATACGACACCCAAATCCCCCCCCCGTAATTACGGCACTCTTACTACCAATAGTATATAATATTATATCATATACCACCTATTCAATATTCATATCATAACAATATGCTCTAGGGTCATATCTTAGTGACATTCAACAGAAATTAGTTAACTTTTGGACAAAATGGACTTGGTATTTTTATCTACCAAAAACAAAATAAAATAATTTATTTAAATTCATGAGAAATATAAAAAAATTATATTTCATCTCAAATTTATTCAATAATTTCTACATAAAATGTATTTAAATATATAGGTATATCTTTAATTGTAACATAAACTTTGAAACATACAATTATTATAATTTATGCAGCCGAAAAACTTGAAAAGTTTGTTCTACAACAGTGGTCGGCAACCTTTTTGGATTTCGAGGCCACATTCTCAAAATTATAAAGTTTGCGGGTCTGACAAAATAAAAATTTTAGATTTCAAATTATTTAGTATGAAATAAATAACTGTAAACCCACTGTTCTACAGTATTTATTTAATCATACTCTCAAGATGATGAAAATGTTTTTTTTCGTGTGTGGCTGGTCACGGCAGTAATACGAACTGTAGCATTGTTGCTTCAACCYGGAAAAAAGTGTTTTAAAATTCCAAAATAACCTTATACCCTATATTCCCAGTAATGTAGACTGGKATAATTATCTCATGGAACATGTATTTTTAATCTGTATGCTGTGTCACCAGTTATTATCGAGGAAATTTTTCTGCAATATATAATGGTAAATTTTAGTATTTTATTCTTATCACTGTTCCTCATAGCGCTTTAAATTGTTTTCATAATCAAAAGAGTCATGGATMTATTAGGGKTTAAAACCCCTGACATATTAGTATGTTACTATCTAAATTATAATTTAGGCCGTTTCTTATAATGCCCGTAAACGATTAACTGGTGATAAGTGGGATTTTTACCAGCAGAATTCCTCCAGTTAAGCGTTATATAAATCTGATCTATTTGACTAATTAATATTTAATAAAGAATGATGAATTTAGTCAATATTATTAGCATTTGTACATCAAGATAATTTAGTCAAAATATTGTTTAGKGRACCTGTAACAAATATTTTGCAAGTTTCACGCTAAAAATATTCCTTTAGTAAAACATAATAGTCATAATAAACAACATGAAAATTCACTACAGGTACAATGTTTATCTTAATGACTTTTTATATTTTAATGAATTACAACTGGTTTAAAATTCCATAAACGCATGGTGAATACAAGTATTTCTTTACACTACCAACTTTCATATCAATATCTCCGTTTAAAAAAAATTCCCAAGATACCTCCATTTTCTTTATCTTTCACAATATAGTTCTTTTTCATCTTCCTTAACATTATACTTTTATTTTTTTTYCTCCATTTAAATATCTGATCTGTTTTRTTTTTTTACAATGAAAATAGTGAAGAGTTAATGCATAGTTTTAARAATAATTTCACAATATTTATGCACAAATGTGTCAATTGCAGTAACTTATAATTTTATATTTTACTAYTTTCAGTGGAAATTAATGATGTGCATGAATGAATTCAGGTTAAAATAACTTATATATATTTCAATAGTTTAAAAACAAATTCTTACAAGAGATATCAAAACAGCATTATATAAATAAATATTATATTAAACTTAATAAATTAATAACCAAAGGTACATAATATAACCATCACAATAGCTTTACCTTATCCAAACCGAATAATCATTTTCAACAATACTAATTTTCTTTAGTTATATTAGTGGTTATGGTATAACAGTGCATCACATTTAATCATTGTACCAATCTAAAAATAGTAGGGTAAATGAAAGTACTAATATAAAAAACAATATATATACTCTAAGACCGGCATTGGTTTGTATTGCTGATCTTATTTCTGTGTTGGCATCGACTATGTTTTCAGTAGTATTTACTGCAATTGTGTCTATCCTCTCGAGATCCTGATCTTGTTCCAATATTTTTTCAGTAAACAACTCTTGCAACTCGGCGATTCGTACAGCCTTAGACTCTATATTCCTTACCTACAAGAAAGAAAGAAGATTTGACTCAATAAGAAGTTRACAAACGAAACAATCGCAACAAATATAGTTGTACATACTTCATTTGATAATTGATTTAATTCATTGTACATTTCTATATTTTCAGCTTCAAACATCTGCAATTCTTCTGGTGACAATTCATCATCTAATTGAGCTGCATACTGTCGGTCAGCAGCTTCATATTCAACAGCAGCTAAGTTATTGGTTTCTTTCGGTGGTTCAAAACCGTGAGTCAAATTGCTCAACTTTGAAACGTTTTCATACTCTAGACACCTTTGGGCTCGCGTTGCTTTGATCTCTGCAAATAATTTGGCAACAGATTTTTGTCGCCATTCGACATACCGTATGATCTGACGTCTATGATCGTCGATTTGACTGCAATCGCCTGTCAAGCTCTTTTTAAGCACCATCAACTGTTGACTGCACGTTTTGATGATGTGCTGCGCTCCTATGTCGATTTTGTCACGGTCCGCGTCAGTCAACGTGGTCTGCTGATTGAAAGCCTGGACGTCAATATAGTCTTTGAAATGGCGGTTCAAGAAGTCAGTCAGCTTGGCCAGATCGTTGACGATGTCCTTGGCCCTACGAGAAAATTCGTCTCTACGTGGCTTACGTTGTTTCAGAATATCCGCCTGTGGCGGTGCTGGAGAACCGAATGCCCTGTTTCTCGTTTTAATAGTCTTCACATAGGCTTTGAACACGGCAGTCTTGTCCATTTTAACTATGGAACAYAGTCTGTAAAAGTTAAACTAAAAAAATCTAGCGTAATTGATTGTGACGGTAACTTTTTGAAAATTCCCCGCTATCATTATTTGTTATTTATTAATGTCGTGTTAATATCAATGTGATAACAAAAAGCGATATCTCACGATTTAAAACCACGGTCATGGTGATAACTGATAACTCGGATAAATAATAATACACAATTAACCGCCATTTGTCATTCAAATTTCAAATAATACGTATATTATAATTAGTTTTATTAATATTATTATTTATTATTATAGTCTATGATCAATATTTAACTCGTTATTTCGTTCTAATTGTTCTTGAAAAAACAATAACTCGACGTACAACATTTTTCCAATGATTGGAAATCGATTACCTGTTGTAAAGCTGTAACTGTTGTGGAGTGCACTCCATTGCCGACCATCCTAGATCCTCTTTCTTATATACTTAGATATGCTTATTTAAGTTAACAAATTGTTTTGTAGATTTGTTGAAAAAAATGTCTGGGTTTTGTGATTTAAACATCGAATACATTTTAATTTCAGTAAGCTTAAAAGTTGTAACTAGGTAGTAGGTGTATACAATACAATTTACAACAGACAATACTCTTATACAAATATAATTACGTCATATTATTTGATAATTAAATGATTAAGAGGACGTGACACCTGCATGTGTTGTCTCCATCTTACAAGTGCATTATATAGTAAATTTTACGAACACGTGTAGCTCCGTTTKCTTAAAAATTTGAGTGAATTGACCTCTTATAAAATTTAAAGGTATGATTGTTATCTAGACAACCTCATGTGCTTTTTATTATATTTAAATTTTAAAGCAAGTTATGAGTATTTTAAGATGCACAAAAAATKTACAATTTTAAAATACTCATAACTCGCTTTAAATTTAATATATAATAAAAAAAAATATGAAGTTGTCTATATAATAATCTTACCTTTAAATTTTATAAGAGGTCAGTTCACTCTAATGTTTAAGCTAACGGAGCTACACGTGTTCTGCTGAACGTACAATTTACTATATAATGCACTTGTAAGACGGAGACAACACATGCGGGTATCACGTCCTCTTAAGATTTTGAAAAATATATTTCAACGGTTTCCAGTCTTAAAAATGTATTCGACACCTATATCATTATTTATTATATGTGTTTGAAATTCTGCCCAAATAGCCTATGGCCGCATAGGCGTAACTAGACTTCTAAAACGTATGAGGTGGTATATTATTAAAAACATAAAATTGATGTTATTTCATTATAATTATAATAGTTAGATCTAAAAAATCAAGGGGTGCTAAAGACCTTTTAACACTCG